TCCTCCTAAATGGGATCTTCTCCCTGTTCCCCCTCTTGGCAGGAGATGTCCCTCTCTGCAGGGAAGTCCCCATTGCCCCTCCCCACAAGCAGGCTGATTGATTTACTGCCCCCCTCATCCCAAAGCGCGGTCCCCTCTCTTGACTGGATGCTTTTGTTTTCAGAGCTGTGTCTCCTTCATCATTTACTATTAATTCCTTTTTATATATAGCCAGTCTTTGGGTATGTTTGTTGTATAGCTTTTTAGTAGTTGCTCTAGGTGTTATACTTATTTATTGTATTATATATAGTCTACTTAGCTTTCAAAGTCTACTGGCGCTGATATTTTACTAGTTAGAGTGAAGTGTAGAAACCTTGCTTCTCCTTATATCCTTTTACCCTCCTCATTGATAATGTAATTGTCTTAAACATTTCTTCTGCATTTATTGAGAACTACTTTATGTGGTGTTATAATTTTTGCTTCAACTGTCAAATATATTTTTAAAAACTCAAGGGGACATTTTCCAATATTTTTTTCTACCATGTTCTTTCTTCCTTCCTGATGTTCCAAAATTCCCCCTTTTTTGTAAAAAAAAAAATCATATTCTTTCTGTTCAGAGAACTTCTTGTTGCCATTCTTATAGGGTAAGTCTGGTGACAAATTCTCTTAGTTTTCCTTCATCTGAGAATGTCTTGATTTCTCCTTTATTCTTAAAAGATATTTTCACTGTAAATATAGAATTCTGGACTGAGAATTCTTTTCATTTAGCACTTGAAAATTGTTATGTCACTTTGTTCTGTCCTCCATGGTTTCTGATAAGAAATTTATTGTCATTATAATCATGTTTTTTTCCCTGTAGGTAATATTTTGTTTCTGTCTGACTGCCTACAAGTTTTTAGAAGTTTGACTATGATGTGTCTTGGAATGAATTTCTTTGCTTTGGGTTTATTCTGTTTGGGATTTGTTTTGCTTCTTCGATCTGTAAGTTTTGCCAAATCTGAGACATTTTTGGCCTTATTTTCTTTGATTCTTTTTTCGTTTTCCTCTTTTTTTCCCTCTTTTTCTGGAATTCCAACGATACTAACGTTAGGTCTTTTATTATAGTCCCACACATCCTTGAAGTTCTGTGCATTTTTTTTCCAGGCTATTTTCTCTTTATTGTTTAGACTGAGTAATTTCTCTTGTTCTATCTCCAAGTTCACTGAGTTTTTAATCTGTTCTCTTCATTCTGTTGTTGAGCCCACTCACTGAGTTTTAAACATTTCAGTTATTGTATTTTTTTACTTCTAAAATTTCCAGTTGTTCCTCTTTATAATTTCTATTTTTTTTTCTGAAACTTTCTGTTTTGTTCATTTGTTTCATGTGTTCTCAATTGCTCGTTGAAGCATTTTTATGATGGTTGCTTTAAGACCTTTGTCGGGCAAGGTGTGGTGGCTCACGTCTGTGATCCCAGTGTCTTGGGAGGCTGAGGTGGGAGGATTGCTTGAGCCCAAGAGTTCAAGACCAGCCTGAGCAATACAGTGAGACCCTGTCTCTACAAAAATAAAAAATAAAAATAAATAAAATAAAACCTTTGTCAGACAATTCTAACATCTCTGTCATCTTGGTGTTAACACCTGTTCATCATCTTTTGTCATTTAGTTTGAGGTCTTCCTGGTTCTTGGTATGGCGAGTGATTTTTAATTGAAACCTGGAATTTTGGATATTATAAGACTCTAGATATGATCTAAATCTTAGGTTTTACCCGGCCTCCTCTGACATCGCTATGGTAATTGAAGGTGATGTTGCCTGGTTACTTCCAGGTGGGAGTGAAAGTCCAGAGTCTTCATTTGGCCTCCTTTGACACCTCAGGCTGAGGAGAAGCTCCTTGTCACTGCTAAGCAGGGATGGGGTTCAGGCTTCTCACCAGGCCTCCACTCAAGCCTGGTTACTTCCAGGCGGTGGTGAGAGTCCAGACTCCCCACATGGT